CCGCTGCCTCATCCCGGCTTCTCCCCCGGGCACATGCCCATTCGCCAGGGAAGGACACGGCCACTCCTGGAGCCATGGGACATTTCTGAACCCTGGGAAGGCAGGTTGGAGGGGCGGGCGCTGGGAGATTTTTAGCGCTGGCCGGGGTGCAAGGCCCTTGCGCTCTGCCCAGGAAGTCTGCGCTGTTCCCCAGACACAGCGTCCTTGGAGCTGGCGCTGGTGTTCAGGAACACGGTCCCTGGCCCAGCAGCTTTCCCGTTGGGAGACCGATCCCTGTGAGCCAGCCATGGGCTCTGGGCTGGTGGCGTGGGCTAGCGAAGGGGGCGGGGCCGGCCGGAGCCCTGGCACACCTGATCCTTGCTGTTCTGACCCAACTGGCCTGTGTCCAGAGCCCCTGTGGCACTTGCAGCCAGACTGGCTCCCTTGCCCCATGGCAGGGCGCTGTCTGGGGAGCAGGACCAGGCCGCGCTCTAGGCAGCTTGCTCTCCGCCTCCCCCCAGGTGTTCATGCTGCCGAAAGTCAGCGCCAAGACCAAGTTCAAGCTGACGGCCCACGAGGGCTGCCGGGTGCGGAAGGTGGCGCTGGTGAGCTTCACCAGCCTGGCGTGCGAGGACTACACGGAGAACTGCCTGGCCTGCCTCACCAACCTGGGGGACATCCACATCTTCACGGTGCCCGGCCTGCGGCCGCAGGTGCACTACGACTGCATCCGCAAGGAGGACATCAGCGGCATCGCCTCCTGCGTCTTCACCAAGCACGGCCAAGGTGAGCGCACGGGCGCCTGGGCTCCTTGGGCTGTTGGCTTGGCACCGGGTTCCTGCGCCGTGGGGGGCAGTGCTGCCCTGGGAGCTGGGCTGGCAGGGGCCCCCATCTTTCCGTCCCGTCTAATTTGCCCGCGTCTCTGCCTCTGGGCTCTCTCCTCCCCCCAGGCTTCTACCTGATCTCGCCCTCCGAGTTCGAGCGATTCTCCCTGAGCACCCGGAACATCACCGAGCCGCTGTGCTCGCTGGAGCTCGGCCGGCTTCGCGGCACCACCTGTCTCAGGTAGGCCAGCCGGCTGCTCAAGCTGTGCCTTAGGGTGTGGGGTGGGAACCCTGCTGGTCCAAAGCAAGCTGGCTGCTGCCGGTGGTGCATCCCTGAGTCCGTGGCACGGCTCGGATGGGGCACGGGGGAGGTCTGGGGGCCCGTCTGTGGGGAAATCCCCTGCAGAAAAGCATCCTCCATAGCCGCTTGGCAGCCCTCTCCTTGGTGACGGAAAGACTCTCTCCTTGTCCCGCAGCCCCAATTTCACCGGCACGCCGAAACTGACCCAGGCCAACGGGACTCACGTGCTGCAGGGCTCGGAGGCGAACGGCTCCCCTGGTGACAGCGCCCGTAAGGAAACAGCTCGGTGGGGAAATCCCCTGCAGAAAAGCATCCTCCATAGCCGCTTGGCAGCCCTCTCCTTGGTGACGGAAAGACTCTCTCCTTGTCCCGCAGCCCCAATTTCACCGGCACGCCGAAACTGACCCAGGCCAACGGGACTCACGTGCTGCAGGGCTCGGAGGCGAACGGCTCCCCTGGTGACAGCGCCCGTAAGGAAACAGCTCGGACTCCGCACCTTAGTGCGGCGGGTGCTGGCGGAGCTGTGCCTGGTGCTGCAGATGGGGAAACTGAGGCCTGGGTGCAGGGGGGCAGGACTCTAAGGCCTGGGGATCCTAGTGCTTTTCGCTGCCAGGCTGCCCCTCTCCTTCCTAGGCAAAGCCTGGGGGCTGGAGCTGCCCTCTCGCTCTTGGGGGGTGTGCTGCCTAAGGGGCGGGGTGTCTCCCTGGCCGGTGGTGGGAGGAGGTGCTGCTGGGTGCTGAGTACCCTTCCCTCTCCAGGACAGGCAGCACCTCGGGCCAAAGCTGGGCCCTTT